AAACACACACGATAAAATGAAAGGCCTTGTATGAGGCCAAAATGAGGACAGTGGACATATCTAACCACCTAATATGTGGTCTTCCTCTGCCATTACAACACTTGTTTGAGATCCCACCCATTGATCTCTAAGTGTGTCTAGTGTTGTGTTATTATTATTATCAAAAATTTGTCATTTAACCTTAATGACAAACATGTTTGCTATTTTATTTTGACAAATTAATCAGCATGATCTGGGCATAAAAAGCCCATTGATTTGAAGCGTTGACTGTGACAAGCATTTCTAGTAGATAATGGACAGATGTTTTAAACCAATGGGCATGTCGGCCCTAAAAATTCAGATCTTGCCAAATCTCATAAAATAGTTTGATAAACCCATTAATATATAATCAAATTTTAATAACAGACATAGACGTAACAGTGAGATTGCTTTATATTAATTTGGGTGTTAAGAATTCAAATCGTGAAAATAATAATCTCTTTAAATACGAGATAGACCGAGGACACTCGAACCGACTCAAAAGTGACGAAAGTTTTATACATTAAACCGAAAATTCTTGAAAAACTCCTAGTTACAACACCATGATATCACTTTAATGTGGAGTCGGTGGTGAGTGAGTGAGTGGATGGATGGTCTATGAAATTCAGTAAAGATTTGAGATGGGGGTATTTTGGAGATTTTAGTCATGGTGAGATAAGATGTATCCATTGATTTTTTCTAATTGAAAATAATGGAATTGGTGGTTAGTCCATCGGTTGTACCGGAGATTAGGTCTTTCTGTCCTAATAAAGACGCCTTCTGTTTCTTTTAATTTACTGCCTATCCACCAACTATTCTGTTTTACACATTGTCAACTTCCTATGTCCTTCATAAGGCTTTTTTTTTTTTTTTTCGGGCGTACTCAAAACATGAGATTTCTATTATTATGGAATCTGGGATGATTTTCTCTGGTTTTTAATATGAATTTAGCTTTAATAGCTTTGATATGAAATAGGTTATGCCGATAGGATTATTTTGTAAATGACTCAATATGAATTATACTGAATATGATTTATAAACGACATAAAACTTGATACGATACAAATTCAAATTAAACACAACACAAGTCAAGATATACATGACTTATGCTTCACACGAACCCGATACCACTATTGTGAGTGTTCACTGTGTATAGATCCCATTAAAGGAAGGTGCATAAAGTAGACAATAACAAGTAAAAAGGGGAAAGAGATGAGGAAGAAGAATATCTAAGTCTATCAAGGACAACAGTAATGAGTTTCTTCATGGGACCCACCAATTAGCTGACTAGGCATTAAAGAGGGGTGAAAATAAATAGATGTGACAATTTTATATATTATCATCAGGCTTCTTATATTACCTTGTTTAGAAAAAACACAAAGAATAGGTAAATGATGGTTTAGCAAAAGGTTCACAGGTCAGAGTGTATGAGCCGTTGGATTGATATGTTGGTAGCAGTGAGTGGGACCCAGGAGTGAGTATTCAATGGATGGACGGCCTAGATACAATCATAAAATAATTTGAAAAAGTTCATGAGGCCATAAAAGTATAAAGGGTTAACTGCAATCTGCCCCTCCAACTACGTCACTTATTACAATTAATTCTCTATGGTTTTAAATGCTACAGTTTACCCCTTTTAAATTTTAAGTGAATTAAATTGATTAACAACAATGACTGAATACTTGAAAAAACCATTACATCCTTGATCTTGAACATTAATTTCTATATTTTTTTTCTTGAGATATCAAATTTGTCCCTAAAAACTAAGAAAACGAAATAGCCAAGACCCAAAAATAAGTAAATATTCACTTCCACCTCATCATTGGGATGAGAGAGTTTCTATTGCAAGGGGGAAGGGAATGGGAGCTAACTAATATTATCAGAATCAGATTGGACATCGAATCAATAGAAGGATCGGGTCAATGATTCATTGGTTCAACTCTTAGGTCAACTAGTCGGATCAGTCGGGTAATTAAAAAATATATAAAATATAATAATTTAACTAAAAAATATAAAAAAAGATGTCCACAAATGTGTACAATTTGCCACAAAAAACAAAGAAACTAATTTAGTTAAAATAAATATTTATTTTTATATCAAATCACCAATTTTAACCATTATTGATGTTTAAATTAAATTACAATCAATAATTAGACCTTTTATTTTATATGAAAATCCAAAAAAGAGAGAGAGACTTACAAATATGTTGGAGAAGCCACATGAAGAGAGAGATCGAGTGGAGAAGCTGACTTTATCTTTTGAGAGAGAGAGAGAGGGGGGGGGGAAGGTCAAAGGAGAACGATGAAAACAGACCGATTTCAAGAAAATTTTGGCTTTTTATAACAAATAACATTTGAATTGTCGAATTTGACAAAATTGTTAGAATCATAGATTTTGTGATTTTTTCCCAATTCACTTGCATATGCAATTCAATTTAAGAACCGAACCGGTCTAGGTTATGACAACAATGGAACTAACTAGCCGAAGTAGGAGAGGACAAAATGATGTAAGGATAAATGGAAAAGTATGAATATTTGGTACAAGGAAAAAATATGTGTAAGGGTAATTATCTATTTTTAATAAAGTTGAATTTGACATGTTTAACTTTTGTTAATTTTTATTGTCTAAAAAATAACTATTGAAATTAATTACAAAATATTTAAACTTTAAGGGGAATTTTTGTTGAAATTAAAACTTGAAGGAGTGAGTTGCAAACTATCTAAAGTTGATGGAGATATTTTACGATTAACCCAAATATAAAATAGTGAAAGCCTTGTTTAGTTGCCACGACTTTTACGCCTCTTGACCCATTAATACTGTCAAGTCTCTACCACAAAAAAAAAAAAGTAATATTATTTAATTATGTCAATAAATTAAATTTCGGTCGCTCAAAAATAAATAGGGCAATTGAGGGTGCTTAGCCGTCCATTTTGAACACTTTTTTACATCATGGGGTTATATTGTGGGATAAGTACTCTAATCAAACGGTCAGAATCCCCCCATTAGGTTGACCTAACGAGGCATTTCACAAAAGAATTGGCCAATCACATATGAAGAAGGTGAACCTATAATGGCACATGGCAGCAAAAGTAGATGGATATAATGTATAGTTATTTACCATGAATTTGTCCTTTTTTGGTTCAAGCTTAACCATGGACAAAAAAATCATTAAAAAAGTGGAGAATTGGATTTTTTTTTTTAAAAAAAATAAAATTGACCTCTTTAAGTTCTACATTGGTTTTTCTTCCCTTTTTTTTTTCTTTTCTATCTTTTTTTGGTAACAATTTTCTTTTGAATCTTATTAGTATATTTTTTGATAATGGAGGATCCATAATAGGAGGAGTAATGAGTGTTTGAGATGCTTAAGTAAAGATGTGTGGTTTAGTGATGTTTATTGGGACAATTGTTATCAATATTGAATAGGTTTTCTGGGACATTTTCAAAAAAGAAAACATATAACAAATCTAGTCAAAACAATGTGGTGTCCAAAGGAAACTTGAGTTAAAATCGTTATTTTTTCAATAGAATATCCGGTGTCAAACGCATACTTAAAACTAGTAAGGGTTAACAACCAAAAGAATGAAATTTTGAAATATTATAATAAAATTTTCTTTCATGAGATTGGGTAACCAAGTACGGAACGGATATATCTAGACAAACGAGACTCTTAACTCCTAATGCGAGAGTCAAGAACCAAAAAGATGGGGTGAGTTTCAAATCGTATTAAATCTCACAATCGAGTGAATCTTAATATTTGTAATGATCAATGTATATCATAAATATTTTGGGCTCGGAATATGCACAAAAACCTCCCAAATTACATAACATCTTTTGCAAGACTTAAATTGAAAATTCCTAATTATAATTCTTCACATTTTACCTTTCAAATTACCCTTGAAGGGATTTACTAATATCAAATTAGTTCAATGATAAATTCCATTGGGCAGAGGCACATCATCAAGGTTGAATTCAACTACAAACCAAAGGTCATTGCATGCCACGTCATGTGGGAGCCACACTCAAAACTCTAGCTTTAACCAGATCAATGGTGAGGGCTGTGACTGTGACATCCAATAGCAACATCCCACGTGGAATTAAATCAATTTCTTTTCACATTCGACCCAAAAAGTATTTTTTTTTATCAACATCATGTCATCACATACACAACAAATATAAATATTTTTCTTTATCTGCAAACCCAAAGAAATTACACAGAACCCAATAAAGGCCAAACTCTCTTGGTTTCTTCTCTTTTTCCTAATTTTTTTTTCTTTTTTTGGCTTTCGAAACCAGAATTATGATTATTTTTATTTATATTTTGTGGGTTTAGTTTTGGAAATAGGAGAGAAACATAGCAGAAAAGTCTATAGTCAACAGGAAATATGGAATAATATTCCTCTACCTCTCTATTTTACTATTATTTTAATAAATTTAATTTATATGAGTATAATTAGAAAGGAGGAATTGAAAGATTACAATAACATCAAAATAAAGTGAGAGATAGCTGAAACATTTACTTCATATACAATACAACAAGAGGTCATACACAAACACAACCCCCCTTCCCATTTCACCTTCCTTTCCCAACCATTTATTAGATTTCTCCAATGGTCTTTTCTTTTTCCATTGGTTGTACTGATTACCAGCTGAAAAAGCCCATCTCAATTCCTTCATTTCTTGTTGATTTTTTGCTATTTTCAGTGGTCTTTCTGGAACTTTAAGATACAAACTCTTCTGGGTCTTCTTGGGTTTTTGTTGTTTTCTGCAGAACTTTCTCTGGGTTTCTTGCAGAAAAGCCTTCTATACCCAGTAGCCTATATGCCATAAAAGGGTTGGAGAGAATAATCATATATACCTATTTATTCATAATTTTTCATTTTTTGTTTAATTTTAACAAGAACCAGTTTTTCCTTTTTTTTCCTTTCAATTTCCTTGAAAATTTTCTCCTTTGAGATTTAAGGAAAAGAAAAAACTAGAGAGACATGGGAAAGCAAGGACCTTGCTATCACTGTGGTGTTACAAGTGAGTTTTTGTTTCAAGAGTTTAATTTTTTCATAAAAATTTGAATATCTAAGCAAAATGGGTTATTTTTAGTGCTTTTCCTTTTTGTTATTGTTCTCATATCCTCTAAATGGTTTTATATGCTTAGATTAGTTGTTCAATCATGGAAGAAGGTAACACCCGTATTCTGGGTTGTTTCTAAACGAAGAGATTTCCTGGACAAACAAAATTAATAAGACATATGTGCTGTTTTGTATCTTATTATGAGTTCTTTTGTTTGTATCAATAGAGTTTCACACAACAGCAAGTGCACTTGAATCTTTGAATACCAATACTGCTCTGAGTATGAGTTTTTTTGTGAAATTGGGTCTTCTTTTTTGGTTTTTCAACCTTTTCTTCTTCCTCTTGGATGGGTTTTCATTGCCCTTTGAATCTCTTGCACCATATAGGACAATGAGAATCAGCTTTTGATAATTGGGCAGCAACAGATTCTATAATTGATCCCCTTTATTTTCCTCCAATGCTTTAGAGGTGGTTCAGCTTGACTTGAATCCCCCAACTCTGCCAAACTTTGGTTTCTTGTTGCTTCTTATCTTCTAAAATTCGTGATCCAATGAATAATTGTATTTCCTCCTGCACTTGTGTTATTGTTCCAATCTCAGTAAGATTTATGGCACATATTGTTCTCCTTAATAGTAACATCAGGCCAAGAATTACTCCTAAAAAATGAGTCAAGTGTTCCTTCTAATTTATCTTCTCAATCTTTGTCAGTGGCTAATGTTCTATTTTGAATTATATTTTGGTTGTTTCTCATTGTCATTGCTCTTTCATGGCTTATGGTTTGAGGAAACCTTGTGTGGTTATTATCCATGTTCATTCATAATTAGTCTCTTGTTCAATGGAAAAAGGTTTTCTTTCTGCATCACGTTCCAACAGTTTAATAGCTGTTAATCTTGGTATAGAAATCTAAATATTGTCCGAGTACTCTGGTCCTTGTGGTGTTACTTTCTTCATCTCAGCACAACTTTGCTGCTTGTTTTGAAATTTGGCGTACATTGCACTTTTTGCCATTCCACTTCATGTTTTCTTCTGAGTTGCTATTACTTGCAGCAAAGGCACACAGCTGAAAAAGATTTGTCAGACTATTTGAGTATGGTTATGCAAATTCTTTTTTGCTGCAGCTTGAAGTGGTTGCTAGTCTGTTTGGCTTATCTATCAAATTATATAGATTTAGCAGTGTAGACTGAGTGATAATAAGCTTGTTTTGGTTTCCAGTAGTAGTCAGTTCAAATATTCCTTCTCTTAAAGCTCCAAATTTAGAATGAGGCTAAAATTTGATAATGGTGAAAGGATGTTGCAGTATTTGTTGTTGTCGGAAGTACTCCAAGTCATTTATTCTGTAGCAACTTTCAAAGAGCCATTCCAATTTTGTTTCTAGCTTTATTGGTGTCTAATTTCACAATCTTATAAAAGTAGTATGGGTTTCAGCTAATTTGTTGAAAGTAAGAATTTCATATTCCTTGTCTGATGAGTGATGACTAACTCTAACACTACTGCTTGCATGTATTCAATATAGGATTACAGCCTACACTCCACTCAACCATCTGTTCTTTCATTCTTCTATTGCTTCTACTCTGTTTATTCATTAAACTTCAACGGAGGAGCAATGGCTACCAAATCGTTGGTTGTGTGCCTCATTTCATCTCATCTTTTTGTTCTCTTATCATGAACTAGTGTTATATTAAGTTCTGAAAGAACTGAAGAAGCGCTGGCACATTGTATTTAAATGAAACAACTTGCTAAGCTCTTCCTGTTTTAGTTAAGGATCTTTTCTAACAAATCCTCGGTAGCAAAACTTCATAGTATTCCTAGCTTTATTGTATTCTTGTCTATTTCTGAGGTTAATGGATTCTTTTTTTCATCATTAAGGGATTCTTTGAAGCTTTCTAAGCTCTATCCTTTTAAGCTTAATGGCATTGTCATCACTGGACTGTAATCCTGCTTAAGCATTCTCACATTTGTAGTCATAGTAGCTCAAATTTTACTTCTATGACTATGAGTTGTATAAAGAGCACCACTAGCACCCCCTTGAGCTTGCGATGCATTCTGATAGAGTCATAGAGGTATGGGCTGAGTGCCTGTCAGTTCTTAGAATCATGGTTTGATGGCCACCAGCTTCTTTGTGACGTTACTGAGAGGACGTGTATTGTGTACTATTAAGTTCGTTGTGACATGCAGATACATACTTAAAGACATTACTTCTCTATTCTTCCATGCTTTTCTCCTCTATGTATATGTTCTTCCACGCTTATGTGTTTGACATCAATGGTCATTTTTCCCCTCAATTGAGTAAATTTACTAATTGCCAACAATTAAATTATGCTACAGGCACTCCTCTGTGGCGAAATGGGCCACCTGAGAAGCCAATACTGTGTAATGCGTGTGGATCACGATGGAGAACAAAAGGAACACTTGCGAACTATACTCCACTACATTCTAGGGCAGAACCTGATGAATTTGAGGATTACCGAGTTTCAAGAGTGAAGAGCATGTCTATTAAGAACAAAGAGGCAAAGGTGCTAAAAAGAAAGCAGAATCATGAAAATGCTATAGTTGGAAGGGTTGCACGTGATTCTAACCAGAGTCTTTGGAAGGCTCTAGATGAAGATACAAGTAATAGATCAAGTTCTGGGTCCGCCATATCTAACTCTGAGAGCTGTGTGCAGTTTTGTGGTGCAGACGCAAGTGATTTGACAGGTTGGTTTGTCCCTGTATGGGCGTTATTCATTCATTTGTAGCCTAATGTCCATACTCCTTAGTCCCAATCTCCAATCTCCACACTCTATCCCCTTCCTTTGATTACACTCCTAGAGACTGAATTTATCATCATCAAGGATCAATATATGACATTATAGGCCATTCAGTTTTATCCAATGAGGGTGCATTATACTCCAGTTCAAATGTGAAGTTGTGAGTCATATATGCTTATTTGATCATAGTAGGAAAATGGTTTCTATAAACATCTCTAGTTTCCATCAGTTTTTTCCCAGTGCTTTTTTTTCCTCTCTTTTCCTATCTATTTTGGTTTTCTTGGTTTTCCATCCTTCCTTACTGCATAATATCAAGCGGGTACATTGAAATGATGTACTCATATAGTTGCTAAATATAGTTGATTCGTTTCAGGCCCAGCCCAATCCAATGTATGGGAAACAATGGTACCATCGAAGAAGAGGACCTGTGTCAGTCGTCCAAAGCCATCTCCAGTCGAGAAGCTTACTAAAGATTTATGTACCATCTTACATGAACAGTCATCCTACTTCTCTGGATCTTCTGAGGAGGATTTGCTTTTTGAGAGTGATAAACCAATGGTATCTGTTGAGTTTGGACATGGAAGTGTTCTTATTCGGCATCCAAGCTCAATAGTTCGAGAAGAAGAATCCGAAGCTAGCTCTCTTTCTGTTGATAATAAGCCACACCCCGTCAATGAGGCATACTCCCGGATGACTACCCTTCCTGCACATATTGATAACAAGGGTGTCAACTTTCCAGGTCCATGGATTGATAAAGTCAAGAAGGCTTCTGGACAGGGAATGGAACAAGAACAAATTAAAAGGTACTTCCTACTATAAATTTAACTACAAACAAGTCATAATTGCCATTAAATTGTCCAATGAATTGTTGCCAGTTTTGTAAGAGGGGAACATGGACACCAGGTGTCTGATATTGCAACCTCCCGCAAATCTGAGATGCGGTACAACTACGAACACCGGTTATGCTACCCAATACAAGGTCTTCAACACAGTTCCAAAAAAGGGGTATACTGTCTTTGTTCTATGCAGCTTGCCTGGCAGATCCGAGAAAAATTGTCAAAGCAAATACCTCTATTCTGATTTGTGTTAGTCAGTATATAGGGCCCAACAGTGACCATTTTACCTGGAATATATTATGGTATGAATAGTTGCATATTCTTTTGGCTTGGAGGGATAAGTTATTCAAACTGGCATGCCGGTCTGGGGAAACTTTATATCCTTAGTTTGAGGAGAGATGATAAATCTTTTCTTCTATATCTTTCTAACTCTATACTTCTGTTGCAATTATGCATAAGTCTCTTGCTTCACTAGATAATACTACATCTGTGTGTTCATATACTTCTGTGTAATTGCAGGGATGAGGCTCAGCGTGAAAAACTACAGATTCTGGGAAGTCAGAATTCGCCACTACATTATGCAGATTTAAAAGTAAGTTTCATGTTTCTACTTCTGAGTAAAAGAGAAAGGCCACTTATCAACTATTGAGCTAGTTTGTGTTTTTTTTTTTGGCCCATTTGTCAGGCCAGTGAAACGCAATTCTCCATATCTGTAAAAGTGTCCCCATTGTTTGGGTCTTTTCCATTTGGCATGTGTATTATTGACCTAAAATGAATCCAACTTTTACATATTATTGTAAATGAATCTTAAGATACTAATGAGCACTTTATACAAGGGACAACCATATAAGCTCCTTTCCTTTTTAGGTGTTTTTTCCTAACATTTGAGTCCATTCTTAAATGATTATCAATGTATTTTTAATTTTTTGGCTAAATTCCTACTTATAATATGGGGTGATCCTGAATTTCAAATTTGTTGCTGCAATTGAGCTGGTTTATCTTGATAATTTCTTGTGATCACTAGCTATATTTGGTGCAGGATGCTCTTAACTTCGACGAGTTTGTTGGTCATTTGACAGATGATGAACAACAACAACTGCTGAAGTACCTACCATGTATTGATACAGGCAGATATCCTGACAGGTTTATTTCTTTGTCCTTCAGATTCAATTTCTTTTTATCAAACACCGGCGATAAAAGTAAGCAAGGGGCCAATTCTGTGGACAGAAATGACTGGCATCCTTCATAGGATATTTCATTGGTGAAGTTTTCTTTTTGTGCAAGGATGTCATGAATCTATATAGAACTGAGTTAACTGTTTAGTCTATAATACCATTTTAGCAAAGTCATTTTTGGGAATGAAGTAAATAGTCCTCACAAAAATTCTAGATTGAAATGACAATAAATTTTGGAATCCTCATTAAAGACTCATCTCTGCTTCTTTCAACCTTGTCTCTAAATGGTAATAATAAATTCTTGTATCCAATTCAGTTTCTTTTGCTGTACCGCACTGCTCATGTCTTGTAGTCTTCCTTATGGGAGTGATTCATTAACCTCCAATCGTTGTGGTAGCAGTGCATTTTTGTGCAGTTCTTCTCCTTTACTTTGTTGATAAACTAAATCAAGTGCACATTATACTAAATTTTATCTGACAGGTTTCAATCAAGCTAAGGCATGGTCCAACACTTATAATGGTCTTTGTTGTCTCATCTACAGCCTTAAAAGCATGTTTGATAGCCCTCAGTTCAAGGAGAACATATCCTCCTTCCAGAAACTTCTTGCGGAAGGTGTTTTTGATCTCTCTTTATTGAGCACAGAAGCTGAGGACTGTAAAACTTTGAAGAGGCTTGCTTTATGCAATTTGACAAAATCCAAATGGGTTGAACAATATAATCTACTCAAGGTTCGAATGAATTACCTAGAAATTGAATATTATGATGTGGAACAGTTATGGTGTATCTTTTAAACTAATGTAAACTCTACCACTGTTCTGAGTGTAGGATTTAAGACCTAGAAATAGTACTGGTGATTCTGTAGTCACTGGAGGACTTGGTGCCATTGCATCTGGTCATTCAGTAAATGCAAAGAAATCTCGAGATGGCCAATATCAAAAATTTCCAGGTTAGCCATATTTTGCTTTCTGAATTCATTAGTTCAATGACTTTTAGGTTTTTTAGACACATTTCTGTTGAAAACGACAATGCAGCTAACGGTTGAACCAAAAAAGTTAATATTAAATAAGAACAATTCAATGAGAAGGGATGAAAATCCAAATAGGCCTTATAACGTCTTACCTTGGTTTTTTCCTTATAATGACTTGCCTTGGTTTTTCCTTGTCTGTGTTACATGGATGCCTCTATGTGCGGAAAATACTATAAGTATCTGGGTATTAGCTGTATCTAGTTTCCAAGCCTTAAAAAACATAAATTTGGCTGAATATCAAAGTAAATTTTTGTCTTCATTAGTATGGAGGTACATGGGTTTTCGATATCAAGTAGCTTGTCTTTAGTATATAAAAAAGAATCTCTCTTTCCCTTTAATAAGCACCTCTTTTGTGTCCAACATGTGTTTTATACTGCAAGTGCTCCGATTTGTCCACCCCGGTGGATGTACATGCTGTCAGTGTTCAGGTTACACATTTGAAGCCAATTCGCAAGTTTTCCATTTCTTAAATTAGCAGATTACAACAAATTTTTCTTTTTGGAAAATGGGGCTTGTCACTTGTAGACTATATAGTACATTACATTACACCAAAGTGGGGCTAAGCATCAATTGATAATGAAAAGGGCTTGAAAATTGAGTACCTGGGGTTTAACTCATGACCTGTTAGTTGAAAACCTAAGCATCTGCTGCTGAGCTACCAGGCTTTTATGAGATTAGTTAGTTATTTTTTATTATTTAACCACTAATCAAATGTCAAAAATCCACATATACTAAATATATTCGATATAATCTTATATTGAAACTTTCAAGGTGCTCTAAATCATAGACATTTTCAAACTTGATGCGCTTGCGCTTGTCCTCCCAGTCTCTCACTACTGCTCTCGCTCTTGCTGCTGCTCTACAAATTGGGCGGTCAACATTTACCTACACCGAACCATTGCATAGTTATACCCTTGGAATGTTGTGTTTAATATAACTGCACACATTTCCATTTCAAGTTATCAGCATTAGATAGGTAAAGGGTAATTGCAAACTAATCTTGTTTTACGTCTGGTTCTGATTTTTCATTACACTGGTAAACAGAAATTGATATCTACGTCGATTTTCGCTTTACTTCCTCTAATGAATTTTTATACCCCTTTCCTCCTGCATTTGTTTTGGAAGATCTTCATCAAATTTCTTCTCTTTTTTTTCATTGTTTTTCCCACTAAAATCTTATATGTATATTTTTAAAATTGGAGATTTTGTTCACTTATATGCATACGCCAATTTGTACCTGTGCAGATCACTCTATCCTTTTCTCCTTACCTCCTATTTCAGCATATTCTCCTCCATACATTAACTTGCATGGCGTGACACCCAAAATTGTGTATCCTGACAATCTCCTATCAAGGTGATTATTAGGATTATCACTGCTGTGATTTATGTTCTTTCCTTAAAATTTCGGGAAGCTGGCATACAAACAGATGTGCAAACACTAGATTCAGGCCCATAATGCCCTGTAACTCCTAACATCCCCTGGTGAATTAGGAGGACTCAGGATGGACATTATTTTTAACACAATGAAGGGGTTAATGGAACCACACCTGAAGTTCTAGTGGAGTTTAAGTTTGAGTTAGAGGCTTTAAAATTATCTGAGTTAGGAACTCTCAAACACTTCTAACCACCTTCTTTGGAATGAATTAAAGACGAAAATTTTGTTTCGGTCTATTGTTTCGGTAACCTAGGAAATGGAAACGTTTTAACTGTGTTTCGGAAACGTTTCAACCCGTTTCGAAAATATAATGAAAAAAATATAAAATTTAAGAATTATTTTTTTGAAACATTGGTCGAAATATATCAAAGTATCTTGAAACATTCTGAAATAATTGTGCAAATGCATTAAAATATTACAAAATATCTCGTAACATTGTGGAATACCTTGAAATATTATAATTTCAATTTCATCACGGATTATTTTTTATCTTCTTAAAAACGGAAACGTTTCGGATGTTTCGAAACGAAATTTTGATCCTCAATGAATAGATAAGGCAATTCTAGTTACACACCATTTTGTTATATACGGTTATACGGATTTTGTCTGTTCAATAACATAAATTGGAATCCCAATTTATTGAAAACGTGTTTCAGGAGCAAAAATGACAATGAAGAGTCCCAAGAGGGTGATTATGAAGGGAAGCTATGAACACAAGGAACTTTTTGACAACGATGGCTCTTGCTTCAGTCCGAAAAGCCTATTCACATTGCCTCCTGATAATAGCTCCCTCCTGCTGGACTCATTCCAGTTTGCAGATGAGAGCTCTGATCAGGATCTGCTGCTGGATGTGCCATCCAACAACTCCTTCCCACAAGCAGAACTTCTAGTCCCAACTCCTCCAAGTTTTGGCACCCAAGCAAGCATAAGTAGTAGCTTAGTATACCCAAATCTTGGCCATCCCTGACAAAGCATGTCGAGATACTAGTTCAATCACTAGGGCTATTTAGGTACCACCTCTGCCAATACCCATGGTGCGCTGGGCATCTTGCATGCCAAACATAACGAATCCTGCAAATGAGGTTTGGTGTTTGCATTCTCTTTTTCTTTTCTTGACCTATGTTAAATTTGCAATGTCAGGGGATGAATGACTCGGGTTTTTTTGTATAGGTTGACAAAAAGATTGTAATATATAGTTCAATATTACATGCAGAAGAGGTGATCTGTGGAGTTTTTGTAAGCAGCTTACATTTTGGCTCAGTAACTTTGAGACAACCCGTCTGCTAGCTGACTTTTGTTGTCATATATTTTACCTTTTTGGTCTCTTCTAAGCATTGGAGAAAACCATGTGAGAAAAAACCAGGAAAATTTAGTGGGATGCATGTGAAGGAAGTTGAAGTTTGTGCTGTCTTTTAACTTTTATACCTGCTGGCTATTCTCATGCTTCAACTTCTATATGATTGGCAGCGTATACATCGTTTAGGGTAGAATATGCTTTAGAGTTCTAGGATTTCACCAATTGCTCAATCTTAGGCTGTTAGTAAAAACTCCTGATGTTAACTGCAAGCAAGGAGATACTTGATATCTTGACCATATAATGTTCATCTGTGGGTTCAGGGTGCAGATCAATAGTTTATAGGATTGTGCATTAGAACAGAATGCCCCTAGTACACTATCAACTCACCAAACAAAGAAAATTTGTGGGATACCATAACTTAGGGAAGGTTCATTTCTGTAAAGAGGTGTGGAAAGTCGATGACGTAACGAAAACCATTTTGCTAATACATAGAATACATGTTACCAAAACAGATGCATTAAACTTACAGATCCATATTGTGGACTTCTACAAGAGTGAGAGAATGTAATAATATTATACAGAGATACATGGAGAAAACCAACCATTGTACTGCTACCTTGGCTAAGGCAAAAACACCTTTCGACCCACAGCCTAAATTTAGTTCAGCAGTTCCCTACACCATAGTAAGACATCAATTTCACAGGAAATATTTTGCTATTTATGTAAATTTTTTGGTCCGAGATTGTATGCATCATATCATAAGAAAGGAATTATCCTGACAACACATTGGTTTTCACTTTGGACACAAAATTGTCACCATACCTTACACGTTTGCAGCTTCAAGATCCATCTGTGGCCACCAATTGCTTATGCTAATGACAAGCAGTAGACTCCTGAACAGTCAATACCACAAGACTGCAAAACATTAAGCTCTATCTATCGCAAAACTAGCTTTCGACACAGCACCACCTAGCAGCAACATAATTACTCCAAGTAAACCCATTTCCTTTCAAATCCCTTCAAAATTTTCACAAGTTACAAAAATCCCAAAACCACCATTTGTAAGCCACGAACTAATCGTGAAACCCCTCCGGTGGCTACCACCTAGGCCGAGGAAACATCATACCACGCCTTGTCAGTCACCAAGATGTCAACAACCTCACAACCATCATCCGCATCCCCTAAACAGTCCTACGTGGACTCAACTCCAGAGCCCTTCTCCCCACCGACATTCTTCTCTTGTCCCCTCACTGAATACAGCAATTCAAGCCTTCCCCAAAACCAAGACCACCATCTTTCTCATCCCCACACTACTTAGCACCACCACAACCAGTATAGTTTGAACTTCTCAATATACTCCATATCCTTGCTAGCCAAACTTCCTTCACCAGCCAATATCTCACATTCTGTCGCATTCACCTGCCCCTTTCACTGGAAGTATCCTTGTTCAACCCTAAACTCCCACCAATTTGTTCAAGCCCTAATTCAAGGACTGTTGTATTAGCATTGTCGTTTGGGTCATTTTCACAATCATCGGCTCAGTATGGCCAAGACGAACACTTGGACATTCCAATTCCAAATTTATCTCAGGAACCCTCAATTTTTTGAAAAGCCTCACTCAATTCACCCTCCAATACCTTAAATTTCTCCAATTCCCTGGCAAAAACATCACCTAGAACATGAGTGAGATCTCCTCCAATACTTTTTCTCTATATTTTCCTTCTTGGCAGATCATCAAACATATATTAGTAATGGATCCACTAATATAGAATGAGTCCTACAAAAATTTATGTTAGCAAGGAGGAAATTAAAGGGAAAAAAAAAGTACTGAGGATTTGGATCCCCAATAACACAACCTCAATTTCAATCACCACCAAAAACGTCATCACTGCCATGGATTCTCAGCATTCATTTGGGTTCTGAAAACCCTAGATTAACCAAGTCCTTACCCAATTCAACAGCCCCCTCTGCGTCCATACAACCATCATCAAAAGCTAATCTCATAATTGATCCGATTGTCACTACAGTTGATTTGAGGATTGTCGGTTGCGATTGTTGGTGGTCTTTGGTCTTCGGAGCTGGAGGAAATAGGCTGAGAATGAGAGTGTTCAGGAGGGGTTTGGAAGTCATCTTCGTCTTCATAAGGGATATTTTGGATATCTGACACTGGTCGGCCTGCGACGAGGACGATGGCGATGAATTTTCATTGGGGAAGAGCACGGATTGGGCGGCGAAAGGGCAGTTTTGGAATTTGGGTTCTTGGGAGGAGGCGGACTGGCATGGGTGTGGCAGCAGAAGGGTCATCGTCTTCTTCCATCGTTGAGAAGGGTTTGTGTTTGGAAGGGATGGCGAATACAGAGAGAGAGAGAGAGATGATTCTCTGTTCTGTGCTGTTGTTCTGTTTTATAGTATTCGCGCCGTTTCTCTCTCTTGAATCGTAATGGGAAGTTCCCGCCTTTTTCACTCAACGGCTGGTGACGGCCGTTACTAAAAATACGACATCGTTTGAAGTATGAATTATGAGTTGTCTTTTTAGTTTCCCATTTTTTTTACTATATATTTGAGACAGAATTGCACTTGGAACCCCAGAAAAGATTTTAAAATTCTCACTTTGTACTTTTAAATATTAAATTTTTCATATTACACCTTCAATATATCAAAAGTATTGCGATACGATTTTTTTGTTGACTTTCGTTAGTTTTTTTGTTTGTGTCAATTGGTTAGTTTTTGACAAAACAAAAAAATTGAAGCTATCGTAATGATCATGTTATAACATTTTTTATATATTTAAGGGTACAATGTGAAAAATTTAATCTTTAAAAATATTAAAATAAAAATTAAATTTGATGTTTTAATCATTTGAGGTCGATTAAATGAGTTCGTTTTTGTTATTCATTTTGATTTTTGCGCTATTCGTGTATTTAAGTTGAATATTTTTATGAGCAATGTTATTGAAACATAATTTATTGACCTAAATCATTATGATATTTTGATTGATTATATGTTCCATCAAATATTAGAATTTGGTGTTGATCTAATAATTCCTATGAAACCACATCATTTATGTCAAGAAATTAAATCAAAATTTTAGATCTAAATAACATTATTCTATTTTCATATCTTTTTTTTTTATTACTTCGTTCGTTATTAATTTAGTTCTACCTTTACTCCTACTACCATTAAGAGCTATTTTATCCTTTTTTTCTAACTCGTGTTTCTATCGATTTTCGTGACTAAATCATCTTAATTTATTTTCTCTTAAATTGTTTTTACTTGGAGCTACTCTTACCATTTCATTCATGTGGTCATTTCATATTCTATTATTTTTAATTTTTTCACACATCCACTTTAATTTTAAATCAAATGAGGGTTCAAATTTAGCGCTGCAAATTTTTTTAGACTCCAAACAATACGTTTTTTTTATTTTAATTAGTTAGATTGTAATTTTTTATTTTTTTAATAATTTTTCTATAATTTTTAATTATTTGATAATTCTATTTTTTCTATTTTATGAAGGAATTCAAAAAAATTAATAATAAATTATAGGAGAGTCTAAATTTAGTATCGTCAATTTTTTTAGACTTTAAAGAATACATATTTTTTATTTTAATCAGTTAGATTGTAATTTTTAATTTTTTTATAATTTTTATGAATTTTTTAATTATTTGAAAATTCCCTTTTTTTCAGTGTTAAGAAAGAATCAAAAAATTAATAATAAATAAAAAGAGTGTCCGAATTCAACGTCGCAAAATTTTTTAGACTCCAGCCAGTACGTAAATGTAAGGAATTTTTTTAGTAAATTCTACTTTGTTATAAACCTGTTGTAAATTTTTATAATCTTCAAAAAAAAAAAAACAATTCACACGGGACAAGATGACGTGAGTCACGTGACATCCTCGGACATGGAATCGGATCCAGTTTTGAAGGACTCTGACTCTGAGGCATAAGCGGTATCATCATCCCTCCCACACGTGCAACATCAAAACTCTCCAAACGACACCGTTTCTTCCAACCACTTAACCTTTCACCCGCCAAACCTAAACCTGTCACCCACCATTTCGCGCCACGTGATATTAACCGAAATACCCGAAACCCGGAGGGCACAATTGCAATAACAAAAAATCTCCTCTTCCTCTTCTCCTTCCCATTTCTCCCGCAAAGCATATCTTCTTCACTCAATTAACCATTGCACAGACACACACACACACACACACACACACACACATGCCAATTCCCAATTCGAATCGATTGATTTCGAACCAATCACTCTAACCCAATCTATATAACGTCAAAAAATCTGTATAATTTCTTCATATTAATCCGTTTTGTGCCTCCAATTTTTCATTTTGGGTTTTTTTTTCTCTCTTTTCATTTTCTTTGGATCCAAGCACTGGACTCTCTTTTTGGGTTTCTCGGCAATCAAACGGCTAATATATTGTTACTTGCAAGCAGGAATCGCGCCATTAAGCACTGCGAAGAATTGCTTCAGGCTCATCTTCGGACCAGGTAGGCCTGTACTTGTAATTAATTTTTTTGTTCGTCCCCTGCAATCCCTAATTGATTTTTCATTTCCTTAAATGCCAATTGTTTCCTTCAATTTTAGGTTTTGTATGCTATTCAATTTGTTTAGTCCCGAATTTTTGTCTTATTTATTCAGATTCCCTTTCAGTTTTCTCGGTAAGCAAGCATTGGTGTATTTTGTTTGTTGATTGAGAATGGTGTCGGTGTCGGTGTCGGTGTCAAATGGGGTTTTATCTGACGGAAATCCGAACAAGCGGCCTTTGGAGAATGGCTGTCATCCGTCGTCTTGCAGTAGTTTTCAGCCAAAGTACAAGTCGAGGAAGGTCTCGGCCGTTCGGGATTTTCCCCCAGGATGTGGACGAAATGCTTCGCAGATACCTTTAAATTATTTAAATTCCCAAGCAAATGCGTTAGTGTCGGATGGCGATAAGATGACCAAAATTATTGAGGCTGATTGTGTGAAATCTTCTGAAATTAAGGCTGAATCTCAATCCCTTGAAGTTGTGAAAAGTCCAACTCGGGAGGAAATGGATGATTTGGTGGGGAAAGTGATGGCTTCTGCTGGAATAGTTAATGGGATTAAAAATGAAGAGTTGGGCATCGATGTGAAAGCTCAGGGGATAGAAGTGCCGAAAAGTTTGGAAAATAATGCATTGGAAATGGCAAATGAATTGCATCAAAGTAAAGGTCACTTATTGGTCAAGGAGTCAAATGAAGTGGTGGGTTTGGATTTTGTGCAGGAGTCGAGTGANTTCAAAAAAAAAAAAACAATTCACACGGGACAAGATGACGTGAGTCACGTGACATCCTCGGACATGGAATCGGATCCAGTTTTGAAGGACTCTGACTCTGAGGCATAAGCGGTATCATCATCCCTCCCACACGTGCAACATCAAAACTCTCCAAACGACACCGTTTCTTCCAACCACTTAACCTTTCACCCGCCAAACCTAAACCTGTCACCCACCATTTCGCGCCACGTGATATTAACCGAAATACCCGAAACCCGGAGGGCACAATTGCAATAACAAAAAATCTCCTCTTCCTCTTCTCCTTCCCATTTCTCCCGCAAAGCATATCTTCTTCACTCAATTAACCATTGCACAGACACACACACACACACACACACACACACACATGCCAATTCCCAATTCGAATCGATTGATTTCGAACCAATCACTCTAACCCAATCTATATAACGTCAAAAAATCTGTATAATTTCTTCATATTAATCCGTTTTGTGCCTCCAATTTTTCATTTTGGGTTTTTTTTTCTCTCTTTTCATTTTCTTTGGATCCAAGCACTGGACTCTCTTTTTGGGTTTCTCGGCAATCAAACGGCTAATATATTGTTACTTGCAAGCAGGAATCGCGCCATTAAGCACTGCGAAGAATTGCTTCAGGCTCATCTTCGGACCAGGTAGGCCTGTACTTGTAATTAATTTTTTTGTTCGTCCCCTGCAATCCCTAATTGATTTTTCATTTCCTTAAATGCCAATTGTTTCCTTCAATTTTAGGTTTTGTATGCTATTCAATTTGTTTAGTCCCGAATTTTTGTCTTATTTATTCAGATTCCCTTTCAGTTTTCTCGGTAAGCAAGCATTGGTGTATTTTGTTTGTTGATTGAGAATGGTGTCGGTGTCGGTGTCGGTGTCAAATGGGGTTTTATCTGACGGAAATCCGAACAAGCGGCCTTTGGAGAATGGCTGTCATCCGTCGTCTTGCAGTAGTTTTCAGCCAAAGTACAAGTCGAGGAAGGTCTCGGCCGTTCGGGATTTTCCCCCAGGATGTGGACGAAATGCTTCGCAGATACCTTTAAATTATTTAAATTCCCAAGCAAATGCGTTAGTGTCGGATGGCGATAAGATGACCAAAATTATTGAGGCTGATTGTGTGAAATCTTCTGAAATTAAGGCTGAATCTCAATCCCTTGAAGTTGTGAAAAGTCCAACTCGGGAGGAAATGGATGATTTGGTGGGGAAAGTGATGGCTTCTGCTGGAATAGTTAATGGGATTAAAAATGAAGAGTTGGGCATCGATGTGAAAGCTCAGGGGATAGAAGTGCCGAAAAGTTTGGAAAATAATGCATTGGAAATGGCAAATGAATTGCATCAAAGTAAAGGTCACTTATTGGTCAAGGAGTCAAATGAAGTGGTGGGTTTGGATTTTGTGCAGGAGTCGAGTGACTTGGAAAGTTTAACTTTGGTGAAATGTGAGGGTGCAGAGGACAAGAAACCTGCATTGGAAATTGGTGCTTTGGCCAATGGGGTGATTCAAGGGGATAGTGCAAAATCGTGGTTGCCACCACAGCCGCTGAACAATGATGGATATGTTGGGAATGAAACTGCCCCTTGCCCGAAGAAGAAGTATAGCAGAAGAAGAGTTTCAGCGATTCGTGAATTCCCCCCATTTTGTGGTAGGAATGCTCCTCAACTGACTGAGGAAGACCGTTTGAGGATTGTTTCCGGGAACAAGAGTTTGGATACAGTGATGAGGGTTGGTGTGGGCAGTGGGGAACTGGGAGTGACATTAAGTAATGGTGTGGAAATTGGGGCAGTGGGAGAAACTTTGATAGTAGGTGTGGAAGGTGGGTCTGTGAACGAGGCATTGAAGGCTGGGGTGGAAGGTGAATCAGTAGAAGAGGCATCAAGAACTGTTATTGAAGAATTGGATGTGGATGTTGGAGATTGTTATCCTGAGAAGGGTGAATTGAAAGGAAGTATGCCTGAACCAAGGAATAAGTATGAAATTAAAGAGAGTATCAAGGATTTTAATCATTTGGTAGGAGAAGTGGGAAAGGAGATTGTAGTCTACTCACAGGAAAGAAATCCTGATACGAGAATGCCTTTAGGTAGTGATGTTGTTTCAGGAAATGTAGTGGACAGAGTGATTGTGCATGGTCTGATGGCAGCACCATTTTGCCCATGGAGACAGGGGAAAGGGGCCTCAACTAGATCAGATGGTGTTATGACTGGAGGCAAAGTAAACAAGCGTGCTAGGCAGAAGTCGAAGCTTGTGAACAGGACAAGTAAGTATGAAATCAGTCCCGTGGGTGGAAAATCAATGACAGAGAAATCAGTTACTGCCACCAAGGCTGCTTATGAAAGTACGGGTGCATTGGTTGTCAGGGATGAAAAAGATTCGTTTGTGCATGATGAAGAGAAACATGAAGATTCTCCTGCTGGTCAGATGCCAAATCATATCGATGTGAGTCTACCTCCTTTTGGTCCCAATAGTTCCAGTCAAGGTGATGCACGTAACAGGGTAAGAGAGACTCTCCGTCTGTTCCAGGCTATATGTAGGAAGCTCTTGCAAGGAGAAGAAGCAAAGTCAAGGCAAGGACAGGAAACAAAGTTGAAGCAGAAAGAGAAAAATGAGAGTAGGATCGACCTTCGAGCAGCAGATGCTATCAAACAGAAAGGTAAGGAAGTTAACTCAAGCAAACAATATTTGGGAGCAGTTCCAGGAGTTGAAGTAGGTGATGAATTTCAGTACAGGGTGGAGCTTGCTATTATTGGCGTTCATCGATTGTACCAGAATGGTATAGATTACATGAAGCATGGTGGAGTGATAATTGCAACTAGTATTGTTTCTTCGGGGGCTTATGCTGCTGATATGGACAATGCTGATGTCTTAATATATTCTGGGCAAGGAGGAAATGTTGTAGGCAAGAATAAGGAACCTGAAGACCAGAAGCTTGTAAGAGGAAACTTGGCTTTGAAGAATAGCATATCTGTAAGGAATCCCGTGAGGGTGATTCGTGGATCTAAAGGAACGAAGGCTTCTGACTCCAAGGATGCAAGAGCTAAGGCAGTTACATCATACGTTTATGATGGTCTTTACACGGTGGAAAACTGCTGGACAGATACGGGGCCACACGGTAAGCTGATTTATATGTTTGAGTTGAGGAGGATGCCCGGGCAACCAGAGCTTGCTTGGAAAGAAGTTAAGAAGTCCAAAAAATATAAGATACGAGATGGCCTTTGTGTTGATGATATTTCAGGTGGTGAGGAGTCATTTCCCATATCTGCTGTGAACACAATAGATGATGAGAAACCCCCGGCATTCAATTACACTGCTAGGATGATCTACCGTGATTGGTACTGCCCTACTGCTCCAAAGGGTTGTGACTGTAACGGTAAATGCTCTGAATCTCGTAAATGCTCGTGCATAGACAAGAATGGAGGAGAGATTCCATACAACTATAATGGTGCTATTGTTGAAGCAAAGCCCCTTGTGTACGAGTGTGGTCCTTCTTGCAAGTGTCCTCCTTCATGCTATAACAGAGTCAGCCAGAATGGTGTTAAAATTCAGCTTGAAATCTTCAAAACAGAGTCAAGGGGCTGGGGTGTCAGATCCCTGACTTTTATTCCTTCAGGAACTTTTATATGTGAGTATGCCGGAGAGCTTCTTGAAGACAAAGAAGCTGAACAAAGAATTGGTAATGATGAATATCTGTTTGATATTGGACAAAACTACAATGACTGTTCCCATAAGCCAGATCAACAATTAAGTTTGAGCGAGATTGTGGAGGATGGTGGCTATACCATCGATGCAGCACAGTATGGCAATGTGGGGAGGTTTGTCAATCACAGTTGTTCTCCAAACCTATATGCTCAGAATGTCCTTTATGACAATGAGGACAAAAGAATGCCCCACATAATGTTTTTCGCTGCTGAGAACATTCCTCCATTACAGGAGCTGACGTACCATTATAATTATTCGGTGGATCAGATTCGTGATTCAAATGGCAATATCAAGATGAAGAGCTGCTATTGTGGTTCTGCAGAGTGTACAGGAAGGATGTATTAGGGTGTCTGTGGCAGAAGTTTTGATCCTAAAGAATTGGGAATTTTTTGACTCTCAAGGTGAGGGTTTTTTTTTTTTTTTTTTTGTGACCTCATTACTCTGTTGTTGTTTTGTCTATGTTAAATAACTTGATCAATTAATTGCTCTCTTTAAACATTGGATTAAATATGTCAGTATTTACATTTCACTTAATGGAAACCATATGTGAATGCTTGAAAATTACATATCTTCTTCATCATGGCAGAAATGTGCTGCACACAATTCCTGATTGTTTTATTGAGAGGAGAATTTGCTTGGACAGAAATAATTTAATGGGAAATCTCATGCTTTTTCTTCATTTGTCTGTCAATGCATCTTTTGTAGTGGTTAATTATACTTGTTGCACTTCTGCATGTTTTGTTTTTGATAAGCTCCACTTCACCGTAATCATTTGAGAGAGAGAACATCTTGTCTTGTTGCATTTGGCTTGACTTTGGCTATAGCAGTCTCATGCTGATCGCAAGCGCATCTATTAGTTTTAAATCTGCAAAGGTGCCGAGGAAACTTTGTATTAGTTTCTGCTGCATTGTCTTGTGGTAGGGGAGTTACAGTCTCTCATACTTTCTTTTGAGGTGGCTTGGGTAATTGCAAGGTCCATTAGGGAGATATTAAGATGTGAGATTTGTATCTAATTTCCTCCATATCGTTGAGCAGTAGTGTTGTCTATTAGATTTACACTTCATAATGTACTATCTAGAACAATGAGTCCTAAGAAGAAGAAACCATCTACTATTGTCCTCTGTGCTGTGCAACTGAAAGCTCTAGTATGCTTTGTATATGAAACTAAAGCATGCATCATACTTTTTTCCTTGAGGTGCTCGTCCTGTTATCTTGACGCATGCATAGAGTAGTCTAACTATTTGTGTCATTGTTCAAATCACATGGACGTGGTCGTATGTATTTATTGCTTATATGAAGAGAGAAAAACAACCTGGTCTGGTGTAGAGCCAACAATGTGAAGTGGCACTTCGCTAGGATGGATTGGTATAGATTTAACTACTGCCGTTATTTGGGTCTGGACGACAACTCACCAATCTTATTTATGTCCTAAATGATGTGGAATCTGATGCAACTTCCCTTCTGGGGTGGTTGTCCTTTTTACAATCTAAGTGTTGCTTTGCATGATTGCTCAGCGTTCTGCAGGAAATTTACTTCTCCACTCCTCCTTGATCAAGAAGATTTGTATGCAGTTCTGGTTTCCTGGACCAAGCATTATTGTTTAGAAGCACAAAACTTCGGAGCTCTTAGATGATGCAGTTTGTGATCAGATGTGGACCACTTTGTGCTTCTGGGTGGAATTCCTTGATCAGGTGGATGAGTCCCTCCCTATTGAGCAGATCAACTTATTCCTTTACGTGTTGATTATCTGGAGGACATGTAATTGTGACAACACTAGAGGAGGTCAGATCAACTTGTCTAGCACTGTAAATTATTATGCTATCCTTTCCATTTTCCCCCTGACGAAACTTGGGAAGTCAAAGAAATTGAAGGAATCGTCAGTGTTTTTGCCTGTTGTATGTAACGGTAGACATTGTAACTGTAAGTAGGCATTTGACTTGGTATTGCTTGTAAGTGGCATATACTAGTAGTCGTTTGCAAGTTGTTTTGAATTGTGATTGTTCTTCAGAAACATGGAAGCTCGGTGGTATACATGAAGAGCCTTGGTTAATAACGCTTATTGACGATTTGATGTATTGTCCTATTTATCTATTTAACAGATGATTATTGTGGAACCATGGATACTTGCATTTAGACTGTTTACTTATGTCATTTTTTTAGCAGATGGGACTTGACTAGGGTATGGAAGAAAAAGATTTCTATCTTCAAATTTTATTATTTTTTGTGGGTATTTTTATAATTTTTATGGATGTTTTTATTATTTTTGTGGAAGTTTTTATAATTTTTGTGAAAATTTTTATTACTTATATAAGTATTTTTATCACTGTTATGATAATTAATTTTTACCACTTTTTTTTTTCTTTTAAATTATCACTTGTGTGAGTGTTTTTATCATTGTTGTGGTAATTATATTTATTACTATTATGACAATTATTTATATTATTTTTTTCGATATTACAACAATAATAAAAAACCCATAAAAATAATAAATACTGATATGGTACCCATTTTTTTTTTCTTCAATACCCATGACAACTTATACCGGATAACACCAGAGGAGTTTGAAGGTTGCAAATTACTCGAGTGTTTTGGACTATTTTCCAAGCTGTTAAAATTGGGATTTAGATATTTATATAGTACTAATTTCCTCTCATAATCTAATATTGTGACTACCGAAAGGAATAGTACTGTGTAGTGTGCCTCGACGGTTACTCTTATTCCTTTTAAAACATGTTTTAACTTAGTTTAAGTTATAGTGGTTAATCACTAAACTTGAAAGAATAATTGACGCAAATCTAACTACTTTGTAGCAAAAAAAAAATAAAAAATAGAGCCAAACTACGCAAAATCAAATTGCAGAAGCAGAGTTTGTGAAAACATAATTATAGCAAGATTGATCTAATTTTTTATCTATATTCTTCCCAATATTAGATAACTTAATTAATAAACTTCCTAATGTTAAATAATTTTATTAATCCACACCTATCTCTATTTTCTCTCAATTACCTTTTTCTTATTTTCTCTCAATCCATTTTAATTTAAAATTGTGTAATTAAAAAATAAGAAAAAAATAAATTACTATTTAAAATATATATGTCACATAATTAATACGTAATTTTGATATTCCATAGTGTCTTCAGATATGTAATTATTAAACATTATGGTAGTTCAAGTGATAACATAGACGAACTATAAATTTAGATATTTTGAATTTGAATTTTCACAATCTCTTAACATCAATTTATGAAAAATTTATTTCTCATGAATATCGTAATCTCAACGCGGATGATCTATTTTTAATCGAATAAAAAAATAATCAAGGTACTCATAAAATAATACGACTACTCATTAAAAAAAAAAATTATTGCTAGTTTTGTGGTATGTTACCTTAGACTTATCCCGTGGCATAGTATATCAAACCTTACCCTATCCTACCTACAAAGCAGAACATTAATGAGCAACAAGCAAAGTACAAAAACTCCCTCAATTCTGAGGTTCAGAATTGCTTAGACACCACCATGATCTGAACTTCCTGCTCTTTAGTCCCCAGACTATCAGCTACAATGGCCATGTCCTTGTTCTCATCTCCTCCAACCCAACTCCCCACTCTCTCTCCTTACCCTTATGCAAAAACCCTTTTGACCCACAAGCCTAATCTCTTCTGTCTCAGACCCAAGAAGCATTCCTTCTTGATATCCACCAGAGCCACTGATAATGGGTCTGGTGTGGCAGGCTCTGTTGCCACAGTAGAGGAGAAGAAGGTTGACCAGAAGGTTTCTGAAGCTCCTGTGACGGTTTCGGATCCTAAATCGGAGTCTCATGAGGATTCTTTGGAGTCTAATGGGTCACCGGCGGACACCGGATCTAAAGAGTTGAAGTTGGTCGCTAATTTTGAGGAACCCAGATGGATTGGAGGGACTTGGGACTTGAAGCAATTCCAGAAAGATGGCCAGACCAATTGGGATGCTGTTATTGATGCTGGTTAGTGTGTGTGTGTGTGTGTGCATATGCATAGAGTAACTTTCAATTCTGATTTGTAGCCAGTAATAATGCCCCAAATTGTTCATCCATTATTGCTTATTTTGCAAGTTTTGATTTTCTGTAATCTGTTTTTGCAATGTAACCATGATTATTTCAACTCTCTAATGGTAGTTACATTCCTAGTTTTACAAACGAATGATTAGCTGAAAGTGAGCTTATTGCCAATATGTGAATAATTGATACGAAAATGCAGGGATTTTCTTCTTTCTTGATGGAAAAATAGTATGCTCGAAGTTTGTGCTAGTGGAATTATTGGGTTTGCTCTGAAAAATATGTTTAGAATACCGTTAGTGACTCCAGGTCGATTGTGAGTGTGTGTGTGTGTGTGTGTGTGTGAGAGAGAGAGAGAGAGAGAGAGAGAGAGAGAGAGACTTTACTACTGAAAGTTTCAATTAGTGTGGTAGTATAGGTGGGAGTTTGTAGATGGATTTAATCAATGTACGTCTCTGGTTTAGCTAGCATTCTGTTTTATAAGACACTGAAGCATGAGTGCATAACAAAGCTTCTAAGTTACGCCAATTTGGGCCAGCTTTCTCCCAAAGCCTAAAATGAATTTGCTATTTGGAAACTTTTTGTAAATTTTGTATATGATCAGTCTTTTTTTGTGGGATTTGGTAAATTTAGTTTTAGTACTATATCTGCTGAGGGACGGACCAAATTTCTTTTTCTCAGGCTTTAGGCTATAGTGTTGGTGGGATATCCTTGGTGATGCTTATCATGTCCTTTTACTTGCATCATGTGTATTTGTTTATAACTATACATATGGCAGTGCACATATTAAACGAAATATATACTGCCTGGGCATGAGGGACCAACAAGAGTTTTCAGTAAAAGATATCATGAATGGAGTAAGGGTGTATGCACTTGTTTATTACACGAGGGAAGTGTTTCTGTTGCAAGGTCCACAAGGTATGCTTCTTATTGTTTTTAAGAAGGGGGGGAACAAAAAAGAGGAAATTTGATAGAGAATCTGGCCAGATGAATCCATCTGCATCTCCGCTTCTAAAATTTATCACTTTGCAAATAAACTTTTTTATTTTATGGGCAAATCTATTTGATAGTCATTGATTAATCAGGTTAGCTCAGGATAGTGTGGTCTCTGCCATTTTCTCGTAAGCTTTATGTACGAGTTGTAATGGAAAATTCCTTTTCTTCTTTTGATTCCTTTTTGGATTCTCAATTTTGGCTACATGGATATAAACATTAGATTCTGATAAGAATAATTCCTGCATTCTTTTAATTCTTCCCAATACTTCAGGGGTCACTTGGTTTCTAATGGACCTCCCTTGTTATTACTTTTCAGAGGTTAAGAGGAGAAAATGGCTCCAAGATAACCCAGAATCATCCAATAATGATGACCCTGTAGTATTTGACACCTCGATTATTCCTTGGTGGGCATGGATTAAGAGGTTCCATCTTCCAGAAGCAGAACTGCTCAATGGCATGACTCAGACTTCACCTTATTTTGTTGTACAGAATAGAAACTATACTTGCCTATGCTGATCTAATCTGTTGTGCTTTAACAATTTTTATGCAGGCCGTGCTGCAATGATAGGGTTTTTTATGGCTTACTTGGTGGATAGCTTGACTGGGGTAGGTCTCGTGGACCAAATGAGCAACTTCTTTTGCAAATCGTTATTATTCGTTGCTGTTCTGGGTGTACTTCTGATCCGAAAGAATGAGGATATAGAAACCCTTAAAAAGCTTTGGGAAGAGACAACATTCTACGACAAGCAGTGGCAAGCAACTTGGCAGGATGAGACTCCTAGCAGTTCCAAGAAAGATTAGTCAAATTGGTGTTGTTTTACTTTGTCATTCTGTCCTCTTCTTCTGCTGTTTTGCAAATTTTATTACTTTCATTTCTCTGCTCGAAGAGAGTGGTGAATCGATTCTCTATCCTCTATCCTCTATTTTGTTCTGTGTCTTCCTGTGCATCTTTGTATTCTCTGCAATACACACCCAATATCATGATTTGCAGCTTTTGAAATTCTATTTTCATTAACTTTAAAGCAACTATGAATAGCATAGGATTGCAAGAATATGCAACACAATCACACATTATGTAACGTGAAGTCCAAGAATAAGCAAAAGATGTTAGGAAAAGTGTATGATACCGAAAGTTGTAGTAGTGACAAGGCAACTTTAAACATGACCAGTTAGGGCGGTTTAAAGAAAGCATGTAATATTTGATTTTTAAAAATTATAATTTAATCTTTGAAAGTTATAATTTTATGGTCGATTATATACTTACAAGTTGTAATTTATATTTCAAAAAGACATTACTTAATCTTAAAAAATTATAATTTTCGGTAGGTATTGACGACGTAGACTTTCCCAAGATATTAATGCTTAAAGATCCAAACAATGCTAAGCAGTTGGCCCTGGCTCGCGTGTTGGTCTAAATGCCTGGTGGTGGCCCAACAATCCATGGGTCAACCCCTTTTGCCCGTGGTGGCCCATTAACCTTGCTGGCGGTGTCCTTGGCATTGTTTTTTACCCGATGGGTAGGCCCATTTTGCCCCAAAAAGGGGATGCAACCCATATTGAAAAACAGGCCCAATAAGACTGACGGTTGAGTGGTCCACTAACAAGCCATTGGGACAGGCTCAGTGAACAGACAAAAGAGTCAAATGTTTTGTGGTGGGCTAGCCCAAACCTGACAAATCGACTAATCAAAGGCCCATCAGGCAAGGACACGTGGAAGATGGTAGCCAAACAATCAGCAAGATACGTAGAGTTGGTCAACACACTGTACTGATGTGCTTGTTGGTACTCTCTTTTGCAGACTTGTAAGATTTAATTACGAAAAATTATTTTTTGATATTAAATTTTAATTTTTTAAATAATAAAAATATACTGTTGAAAATAAAAATAAAAATATCACACTTGTACAATATTTTTTAATTTTTAATAATAAAAATAATTATGGGGAGGATTACAATAAATCATTTTTGAGTTTAACATAATTTTATCCTGGGAAATAATTATTTTAGAGGGGGTCGGTTTCGATTCAACCAATGAATTTATATAATAGTTATTTTCCCTTGGCCTGCATACTCATTCATGTATACCCTCTCGTCCTCTTCCTCTTCCTCTTCCTCTTCCTCTTTCTCTTTCTCTTTCTCTTTCTTTCTCTTGGAGGGGCAATATCATTCTTTGATTAAACATCTCTCTCTCTTCCCCATCTCTCTAGTCTCAACATGCCCAGCAAAATGGTAAGTTCTCTCTCTCTGTCTCTCTCTCTCTGTCATATTGTGTGACATATACATATCAACTTGTATCCAGGCCACATGTTGCAGAGAGAAGGCAGTGTTAGTGGCCGTGTACGTGGAGAGGCCAAGGAAGAGAAGGTTGTTAGCAAATCAGCAGCACCACCACCACCACCATCATCACCTCTATCTCCATCAAGCCAAGCGTGGTGCCCACGGTGGAGGATCCAACAGGAAAGCTGACCTTCTCAACTACTCGCGGCACCTCCGAGAGTCAGCTCGATCAGGACAATCCTCACCCTCACTTCCAAATCCAAAACCAGTTTCTCACAACCATCAACCACTTATGACCCAGGTTCAAGTTTCAACCCTGCAATACTTATTTTAACCTTAAATTTACCATCATTCATGTTGCCAAATCAGAAATGAAACAAAAAATATGTGCTTTGATTTGACTAAACCAAGACAATCCTTGAAAAGGTTGAAATTTAAGGATAAAAAATAAACCTAAATCTTGGTCAGAGCATTGCATAGTAGTAGTTTACAGCATAGAAAAGGCATTACCAGGGCAAATTGTACTATGCATAAAGATTTCAAGATTCTTATTTTATATCTTTAATTATTAAATTTCTCATATTAAAAGTGTTACAATGTAATCATTCTATTAGTTTTCCGTTAGTTTTTTCATTAAATTACGAAAAGCCCCTACATTATTATATAGAAAAAATTAGCACATTGTTTAGTGAAAATTCTTTGTACCATATAATTTATAAGATGTAAACCTCGTATACTCTCGCCATTGTCAGAATTGGAGAGGGTCATCTGCAGAGAAGTGGAGAAATTATTTTCGCAAGTATAACCGTGACGCCGAGACCACAATAGAGCAACTCACCCATTATGGCAATGCCCCTATTTAATTTTCCTAGCTGTGGGTTGGCATATTTCCCCTTTCAGAAGATGATATATAGGAGCTGCTAACTATATAATGTTGCTGAAATTGTCAACTTATGCTTTTTACAGATGATTGCTGTTCCAAGCAAACCAAAAAATGCAAGAGTTCCAGCTTGCCTAGGCAACTGGAAAATCATTATTCCAAGCTTTCTCAGATCTTTGACAACGTCCCATCCTAGGAAAGAGAAGAAGAAAAGAAAGAAAAACAGTGGCTCCACAGCCACAAGGATGAAAGCTGTCATGAAAAGCTTTCAGGTGAGATAAAGTAATATCTTTTTGTAGTGTACACAATAATTATCATTTGGAAACGTTGAAAAGGTTACTGCTAATATGATAAAGTTATAACTCAAACGCGACACGCCTCAACTAAACTATAGATTTGGGAGAAAATTTTTTAGAATCCATTATAGCCGACTACATTGGAACTGTAACATGGCAAGTTTGAGTTATAACTCGATCATATTTGGTTGAATTCGTTATAATATCGAAAAGCTAATATAGAAAAACCTATATTAGAGTGATTTATTACTTTCTAATTTTACATGGAAAATAAATAATTCTTGCAGGTGAAAGAGAAGAAGGGATTTGTTTCCAAGTTGTTTGCATCATTACGGAAACATAGGTGAAGCCTCGTATGCATATTTTTTTATACCAATTAAGTAGTTCACGTATGATTAGAAGGGGAAAGAAGACAAATTTGCATAGCTTTAAGAGAAATACTTGTACAACCTTGGTTGAGGCTAAGGGCCAATGATTTTCTTCTTGATACATAACAGAATAATACTCAACAATAAGGCAAAAAAATTTCTTCCATGACTAGTTCTATAGATGATGCATCATCTATAAATGCTTGCAAATCGAAACAGATGTCGCATTAAACCCAATTACTATGAGAGAGAGAGAGAGAGAGAGAGAAATTACCCAATTTTTAAGTAAGTTATGTGATTTTGACTCGAAACTATTAACTTATGTTGGGTAATTTGATGTCCATTTCGTGTCGAATGAATAGTTTCACCCCCGACGAGCCCTATGCCACTAGTGATGCCTACAAAGTATAAGTTGCTTAACATGTAACAATGTTTTATGCACCTTCATAAATCGAACACTACACAAAGAAAGAATGATTGGAATAAAACGGCAACTATATGTTGCATGGGTTAGACAGGAAGTAGCTAAATGTGTATATTATCAGATAAAATGTCTGAGAAAAACATGGAGTTGCTTGCATCCCATCATTTTATATAGAGGTGGCAATTGAATTATTTTTGATGTGTCATTTTCTATTTATGTTGAATATTAATTAATTGTACCCTAATTATTTAATTAATCGCATCAAATATATTTTAACTATAACCTATCATATTTATTAATCATGGTGTTCAGTTCGACGTGCACAAAACATGAATTTAAAATTGAAACCCAAAACTTTTTTTATGAACCAAGCTCACCCACACATAAGACTGATAATCGAACTAAATTTTGCGAGTTCAACGAAGAGTCTGTCAAGCTCTTTTTTTAAACAAGCTTAAAAAATTGTGAGTTTAGATCATTTAAAAAATGAACTAAATCGATCCCGAATAATTCGACTATTGTACATATAAATAATCAATCTAAATCCGAACACATAAGATTGATAATCAAACCAAACTTTACGAATTCGAACAAAACCTGTCGAGCTCCTTTTTTTAAACAAGTTTAAAATAAGCTTAGATTATTTGAAAAACGAACTGAACCAATCGCGTGCAACTTGACTATTTTATACATAAATAATCAAGCTGAACCCGAATAATTTGGTTCAATTATCAACCCTACCTATGCGCCCCGGACAAACTAAATATCCACTTGATCTCTATATAAAAGGCATCAAGTATAATATACTGCCCTTTAATTCTACAATGACAAACAATACCACTAGATTTTTTTTTCCTCTGAAGTGGAAACAACCGCAGTTAAACCAGACATTTTCTTCTTTAAGTTAAATGAATTTATCATGTCAAAATTGAATTATTCAAGTCTAATAATAACATGCCCGTTGATTATTCGTGCTAATAAATCGTATCATTTTCATACAAGTATCAAAGGCTGTCGGAATTAACACCTCCTGTCACAAATTACAACTTTTATTTTTGCTATATTTGAAAATTTGACAAATTCTGCTAAAATGAAATCAGTCCAGATGAGAAGAACAAGCATACTTCGGACATCCTCCCCATTGAGAGATTGAATCCCCCCAAACAAATCTCGACGAAATGTGCACTAATGTGATTTATTAGCTAACTAATGTAAGAAAAACCCCAGTATTCCATTTCTTTTAACAATCTGTTTAAAATGAATAAAGATTCACTCCAATATTAATCATGAAGAAAGAAATCATGGATTCAAACTACTTTATACTAGTGAAATCAAACGATGCAAGGTATTCCATGCATCTATCACAAAGAGGGCTTGGGACTCGAACCCAAATCTTCCACAACCACCCACAAATCAACAAAAAAACGAAACTACTAATCCAATACTCTCATGAATGTAAACAGAATTCACTGTCTAACAATACGTAAAACCAAAATGGAGATAGAAAACTTTTGAGCTTCAAGATGGAACAACAATTGGAACACAAAATACAAGGGCTCTCCCTTACCTTCCCGTTGAATCCACAAGGAAAAATGAATCCAAAGTCCTAAAGGTCAGAAGGTTACAACGAAATAAATGAATCCAGTGAAAAACTTTCAACAAAGAATCTCCCCAAAAAACATATACAAGTGTCTCAACAAATATTAATAGTAACAACAAAGTAACTAATAAAAAAGAATCACTAAGACAGTTTCATAAGAATACGTTAGATCATAATCAGCAATCATAAAACACAATTCCAGATCCAATGTGCATTAAGTAAGCTGCTTGCATAATGGTTTGTACAAAGTTCATTCATCGACCAGCCACATCACATAAAACAAAAATAATAGTCCCTCATACAGTGCAAAAATCAATTTTTTACCATTTTAGTGCTGTCAAAAAAAAAAAACTATTGTCTAAATCACCAACCATCAGTTGCGTTGCTTGAATCTGGAAATAGAAGCACAGACATCTAGGATGAGCACAAAGTGCCTGAGGAGAATTTTATAATAGCAGCATCAACTTTTTGCCTGAAACTATACTCCACTGATTATAAACAGGGAGGGATATAATGAAATCAAGACCTTTAGCACAAAAAAGGGCAAAAAAGAGAAATAGATCAAGACCAGTTTAGAGGTTGAATTAATAAAATGGGTAATGGAACCTTTAAGATTTTACTGAAACTACACCCCACTTATGTTGAGCATAAACAATGCAAGCTACTGGGCATCACTGCTGATTTTGATGATGTTCCAAAGGAGGATATTTCTTTGGTTGCCAAAATTGGAGTGAAGAAACTACATAGCCAATGGATAAAAAACCATGTGCTCACAAACTATCACACTGAGAATACAAGGTTAGTGAGATCTATGCTGCCGAGTATACTCCCAGAGTGCAATGGCACCACTAACATGAACATTGAGTGACCTAACAACTCCCAACTGTGGGATTTCGATGCAGGCATCCAGAATATGGATTATTTCCACAGGTATACCTTCCTTTTCACGACCAAGGACTAGGACCTGTAAAAAGTGAAGATAACATTACAAAAGTGGTGGAAAACCAGAAGACTTAGAATATCGTCATAGGCCACATAGGAGGGACAAGGCACAAGAGCATTACAGAATGTAATGAAGTGAACACAAACAATCCAACCTAATCTAATGTAATAAGAATAGAGGAAACTGGAAAGTCCAAGTATCAGTGATAGCTTACCGTCTTTTTTGGGAAGGTGTACTGGTCAAGAGGAATACTATTTGCAGTTTGCTCTAGACCCAAGATAGTGAAGCCCTTTTGCTTCTTTTTCTCCAAGAAAAATGATACACTAGTTACTGGGACTTCTACAATGGGAACCCATTTCTCGGCCGTAACACTAGAAAATGGAAAAAACACTTTCTAGTTACTAGATATTAGAGCAAAAAAAAAATTGCGTCACAGCTTTAGATAAGTACATGATAAATTTACCAAATGAAGGTAAAACATGTTTCACATTAGAGAGACAAAATTCATGGATAATTGTATAGCAGTTCAAGGTCAAACACGTCCATAATTCAAATTCAAGCCATTACATTGTTCCTCAAATTTGTTTGCAAACAAGCATTTCAGCCAAAATAAGATTCCTGCACAGCTATAAGCACCTATTAAATTAAAACAAACAAAATCCAAAATGCAGAAACTATCAAATCCAAGAGAATGCTTGAAGGCAACAAGACCCATCGCAGCCCGATATACCAGCAACCCCCAAAATACACACACACACATATAGAAGGAAATATGAGAGGTAAGGCCATGAAAATATCAGAAACCAAGTGTAGAACACATGATGTATACACAACCTCCATCACTTGGGTCAAAAAAGGGCCGAATCCAAGGGCATTCACCACAAAAAGTACATCAGAAACTAAGTGTACAATACATCTGATGTTGATATACACGCTCCATCACTTGGGTCAAAAAGGGGCAAATCCAAGAGCATTTGATGCCGGTACAAGGATGGAAAGAAGTAAGGCATTGAGGAAAGAAGTGGCCATAAAAATACATGGAAAGAAATAGCCACATAAAAGAAACTGTTATTTCTCTCATCCATCCACACCATGAGAAGCTGCCAAGATAGCTCATGAAGCTTTTAGCCATCCAAATCAAAGGCAANGGAAATAGAAGCACAGACATCTAGGATGAGCACAAAGTGCCTGAGGAGAATTTTATAATAGCAGCATCAACTTTTTGCCTGAAACTATACTCCACTGATTATAAACAGGGAGGGATATAATGAAATCAAGACCTTTAGCACAAAAAAGGGCAAAAAAGAGAAATAGATCAAGACCAGTTTAGAGGTTGAATTAATAAAATGGGTAATGGAACCTTTAAGATTTTACTGAAACTACACCCCACTTATGTTGAGCATAAACAATGCAAGCTACTGGGCATCACTGCTGATTTTGATGATGTTCCAAAGGAGGATATTTCTTTGGTTGCCAAAATTGGAGTGAAGAAACTACATAGCCAATGGATAAAAAACCATGTGCTCACAAACTATCACACTGAGAATACAAGGTTAGTGAGATCTATGCTGCCGAGTATACTCCCAGAGTGCAATGGCACCACTAACATGAACATTGAGTGACCTAACAACTCCCAACTGTGGGATTTCGATGCAGGCATCCAGAATATGGATTATTTCCACAGGTATACCTTCCTTTTCACGACCAAGGACTAGGACCTGTAAAAAGTGAAGATAACATTACAAAAGTGGTGGAAAACCAGAAGACTTAGAATATCGTCATAGGCCACATAGGAGGGACAAGGCACAAGAGCATTACAGAATGTAATGAAGTGAACACAAACAATCCAACCTAATCTAATGTAATAAGAATAGAGGAAACTGGAAAGTCCAAGTATCAGTGATAGCTTACCGTCTTTTTTGGGAAGGTGTACTGGTCAAGAGGAATACTATTTGCAGTTTGCTCTAGACCCAAGATAGTGAAGCCCTTTTGCTTCTTTTTCTCCAAGAAAAATGATACACTAGTTACTGGGACTTCTACAATGGGAACCCATTTCTCGGCCGTAACACTAGAAAATGGAAAAAACACTTTCTAGTTACTAGATATTAGAGCAAAAAAAAAATTGCGTCACAGCTTTAGATAAGTACATGATAAATTTACCAAATGAAGGTAAAACATGTTTCACATTAGAGAGACAAAATTCATGGATAATTGTATAGCAGTTCAAGGTCAAACACGTCCATAATTCAAATTCAAGCCATTACATTGTTCCTCAAATTTGTTTGCAAACAAGCATTTCAGCCAAAATAAGATTCCTGCACAGCTATAAGCACCTATTAAATTAAAACAAACAAAATCCAAAATGCAGAAACTATCAAATCCAAGAGAATGCTTGAAGGCAACAAGACCCATCGCAGCCCGATATACCAGCAACCCCCAAAATACACACACACACATATAGAAGGAAATATGAGAGGTAAGGCCATGAAAATATCAGAAACCAAGTGTAGAACACATGATGTATACACAACCTCCATCACTTGGGTCAAAAAAGGGCCGAATCCAAGGGCATTCACCACAAAAAGTACATCAGAAACTAAGTGTACAATACATCTGATGTTGATATACACGCTCCATCACTTGGGTCAAAAAGGGGCAAATCCAAGAGCATTTGATGCCGGTACAAGGATGGAAAGAAGTAAGGCATTGAGGAAAGAAGTGGCCATAAAAATACATGGAAAGAAATAGCCACATAAAAGAAACTGTTATTTCTCTCATCCATCCACACCATGAGAAGCTGCCAAGATAGCTCATGAAGCTTTTAGCCATCCAAATCAAAGGCAACCCAGGTATGACCAGCTTGACACAAGTCGGGGGCCATAGACAGAAATTTTAAAAGAGGGCCTTTCAAACTTAATACAAACTTATAACTAATGAAATTATAATTTTATTTAAAACTCATTTTCCACTTTTTGAGATGCAAAATCACTTATTAAGCTTTTATATTCAAGTTCTACAAACATACATTTCAATAGATAATATTACTAATCCATTTATGTTTCTAGTGATATAATTGATTGCATGTAGAATTTTTTTAGTTTTAATTATGAAAAACTTCTTTCCATAGAAGTACCTGTTACGAGAATATTAAATAACATTCTTTCAGAAATATAAAATTGTATTTAGCTTAATGTTTCCATTGAAGGATTACTTTTTATTTGCAAGAATTCTTTTAAGGCTTTTATTTCTACCAAAGTTAAAAAATTGATCGTGTGGTAGAAGATCCTCAAAATTAATATAATATTTTTTCAACATCTTATCATTTAAGGATAAATAACAAACAAAACAAATATCTTCATATAATTTGAATTATTCAAATCTAACTTGATCTACTCACAAAAACTAATTGTTTCTAAAAGAATTTTTGGTGACTGTGTGACAAAGAATGAGATAGGACAGAAGAGACTAGAGAGAAGATGCCATTGATTTTTTGTTGGGAGTTCAAAATGCAAATGGAATGCAAGTATATGTTGGATAAAAAGTCTCTGGACTACCTCTTTTAAATAGGCGGATATCAAATGATCAATGAAAGAAAAAAAAAATTTAATTAGAACTTGCAATGTAGTTGGCAAATGTAGAAAATTGATTACCCATAAGTTGAGTAGTGTATGGTAGTGAGGCAGAGTCCACAAGTAAAACAAAATTACTAGCTATTATGACTTAGAAAAAAATATATGAACTAGTGTCGGAGTTAGAGTTACCTTGTAAATCATGAAAGTGTAAGTCTTTTAATTCGATAGATACATAAAAAAGAGAGAACCCAAACGAAAAATAAAATAAAAGAAGATTTATGTACGTAAAATTAGTCATCAAACAAATATGGGCTGGGGGCTATAACACCACCTATTTGGGCTTCAAATTTATCCGGCCTGAATCCAGGATGGAGCACCAATCAATTTTATGAAAATCTGACATGAAGCTATGGTGATTTTAGCAAAACACAAGATGAGAGATTTAGAAGGACTGAAGAGCCACCTTAACCAAAAGCTCAACCCATCCAAACCGAAGTCTGATGTGGACCTTATCCAAACGATGTGATTCAAGTGATGCTCAAGAAGGACAGGATTATTAGAGAAAGAAATACGTGGAAGGGGCACAAAATAAACCAAAGAAATACGTGGGAAGTTTTCTTTTAAGATTGTAGATAGAGAAAATCACCACCATCAACGTGGTAATTTCTGACAAGTTCCTGAAATTGTTGTCTACCACGATCCCCAATTCCCAATTAAGTCAAATAAAAACACTTAGTAAATATTCCAACAAACAATCTTCAAATCATAGAGACATATTTCTCTAGTCTTGTAAGCACAACAGGACGTCCAAAATTCAAGACACGGTAAAGTTGCTCCATTACGACCTGGGCGTCAAGTCGCGAAAACAACTCCCTACATGGAGGGGTAAGACTGCATGTATCTACACTTCCCAAGACTCCACAATGGCACAGGGACGGGTGTCTTGTACATTGCACCACTTTTTTCTTAGTTACAAGTAGGGGTGCAACTTGAACAAACTAACCAGAACCCAATTCAGGCCCGACCCAGAGATTTATGATAGATGTTCCAATACTCGGATTGGACTTGAGCCAAAAAGTCCTAACCCAATTTGAATTTTGATAATACTTAGGTTGGGTCTTCAGGTTGAGTTCAACTAGAACCTAGACCAAATTCATGAATTTGGATTCAAAAAAGATCAACTAGAAATTTATGAAGCTGTTATACTCTCAATACAAGATGATGTTCAAGCTTTTTTTCTCTCTCTCATTGTGCCTCACGACTTTGTCTCCCAACTCAATCTTCAAGTCTTGCCTCTCTTAAGATTTCAAGCATAATATTTTTCCTCTTCTTTAGTTCACCATACACTATAGATATTGGAGTTGTTCATTGATTTGTGTTATTTTTGTTCAAATGTGTCGTTCGTCCTCAGCGACATCATATGTATGGGTTCGTTCATTTTAGCTTTATTATCCATATCCACAATTTCTAATTTCCACAAGTTAATTCATTAGTTCTATTTTTACTTATTTTTTAGTTAATTCCAACAATTTTATTCTATGAAACACGAACATAGATACGACAAGACACAGACAGATCGACACAAATTTTTTTTAAAATATAAGACAGATATATTGGTGATATGTTAAATAATATGCATTTATATATAATATATATACATTTATATATAATCATGTGATAGAATAAAAATATTATCATAATAATTTTTTAATTCTAAAAATTCACATCATGATATCACTATATAAAAAATACAATATAAGATATATAAATAATATTCAACATCAACATCTATGATCCAACAATCAATGACTACAACTTTTATTTTCAAATTTTTTTACTTCGTAATACTAATTTTCATCAATTTTCAAGAGCTCGAATTTTGTAACCCCATTTTTTCTCAAATTACTTTCATATTAAATTTTTATTCAATTTGTATATAAGTTCGTGTTCGTGTTCGTATGCAAAATTATGTTACATTCATGTCCTATGTTCAATGTAACAATTATAACTTTTTTTATGTTATGATTGTGACTCATATCCTCCTAAAATTACAAATAAAACTCTTAATTATAAAATTATTTGAAAAGTTCTCAAAAAATTTAAAAAAAAATCTCAAAACGTGTCACCCGTATGTTGGTCGTGTGCCCCCAATGTGTGCCCAACGTGTCCGAAAAAAAATTTAACAATAAAAAAATTGGACATTCACTTTAACGTGTCTGAGCATGTTCGTGTCGAAGCATGTTCGTGTTCCAAACGTGTCCGATATCAACACTTTGTCCAAAATGAAGTGTACGTACTTCTTAAGTTTTATTGCATTATGTGGGCAACACCAGTTTGACGCTTAAATTAAGCCTCAATTAACTTGGCCCGAATTCAATTTGTATTGAAAAAACAACATATGAGCAATACGAGAGCAAAGAACTAAATTTCATTTTCATCAAAACAATTCAATTTCCAAATCAAAATGAATCAACAAATGAATATTCAAGCTCCTATGTTTTCAGGTGTTTTGATCAATGTTTCAGAATATTTCAAAAACAAAATTTTAAAATATTTCTTCTATTTCCACAACTTTGTCAAAATGTTTCTGAAATATTTTCGAAACGTTCTATATCCAAGATGACCATCAAAATGAAAGTTTGATCCTTTCTGGATTGAATGGTTTGGATTGAAATCCAAGTTTAAGTTGAGCCCGGGGTAAAAATTTTAAAACTTAGGTTGAGCCTGAGTTAACCTCTCCATCCATCCATCCAACCCGAACCAAAAGGTAAGATATTTGCTTGCACATTATGAGAAAATAAGTCTATAAATTAGAATAATTAAATTTCATCTATAGTTGCGGACAATTGAATATCAGTCAGTCTCAGAAGTGGGGCTATCAGCCTGTTTGCCGTCTTCACTTCACTAATTCCCACACATTTATTACAAAGACAATGTTTGACAAAAGTTTGTTTGTTTAGTATTCGCAAAACTATTCTAAAGCTTCTTTAAAATCATGCAGAGTCTCAACATTTCCTAGCTCATGTGCTCCTCTAATCCTCTTTGTCCACATAGATTGTTAAACTATTCTGAAGTTGACCATGCTAGTGTTGTGACTCATCACTAATTATAAATTTATAATAAACGGCTTTAATATTTTTGATATAACTTCCATTACACCTCCAAAATCAAGCAACGAGATATTATTTTGGTGCTTCTGCTAGGTGTTCACAGCTAAGGCTATTAAACGAACTGAGCTACTCAGACTTGGCTAATTCATTTTACAATACGGGTCGACTTGATCAAATTTTTAGGCTTGTTTAAACTACGATCCAAACCGGAGTTTGTTGTGTTATTTAATTTTTTTCTCACAATCTCAATGTAATTTTGGTAATAGAAGTAGACACAGTAAAAAAGTTAATATTGCAAATTAAGAAATACTAACGAGTAAACAATTTAGATATCTAGAATCGATTATTAAAAATGATAGAGAGATTAGAGATGATGTAACTCATAGAATTAACGTCGGTTGGCTTAAGTGGAGGACTCCTATAGTTTATTATGTGCTAGAAGGATAGAAATAAAATTGAAAAGTTTTACCGAACAACTATAATGACAACAATGTTGTATGGTACACAATGTTGGGCAACTAGGAAACAACATAGTAACAAAATGAGTGTAGCAAAAATAGGAATGTTAAAGTGAATGTATGGATAAATTGGAAATGATAGAATACAAAATGACCATATTAGAGAAATATTTAGAGTATCTCCAATAGAGGATAAGTTAAGAAAGAATAGATTAAGATAATTTGGTCATGTTCAACATAGGCCTATAGAGGCACTGGTTCGAAAAAGTGATAGAATTTATCTTAATGGTACTGGAATTAGGGGTAAACCTAAATTACTATTGAATGAAATAATAATAAAAAAAATAAAAATATTTAACTTAAATGAACATATAACGCATGATTAAAATGAATGACGAAGACAGACTCGTATAATCAACCCCAAATGATTGGGTTATAAAGCTTGGTTTGGTTTGGTTTAGTTCGGTAATCTCATTTCCGCCACTTCTAAAATCATCCATCAGAATGGTCAATTACTTAACCATAATAAAACACTCTTACAAGAAAACTCATTCAAACATTCAGCCCCCTTTCTCCATCTATACACTTGGCTACCCTCTCTTAGCCTCAACACAATCAAACCCAAGATCTATTACGCAAAATCTTTCTCTCTCTCTCTCTGGCTTGTGTCTCAACTTTAAACTCACAACGAAATTTCAAAACCTAGATTGTTTATACAAATCTAGAATTTACTTTCTCGTATTCTCTCTCCTCTCTCGGCTATAAACCTCTCGTTGGCTAACTATTTATTTATTTTGTTGTGATGAATTTGTACGCAAACTACCTACTCTAGGAAACCAACTTTCTTGGATTCTCTACACATCGTTCGAAATGCCCAACCAACGTTCTAAAGGTTGTTGGCATTGGTTTCATTCTTTTCTTTTCTTTTTTTGGTGAACCTCGACAGGGTGAGAAAATTTTATTGATTTGAAAAAACCAAATTACACCTAGCTAAGGAATGACATATATACCTTACCCCTCGATGCAATTTAATTCAACTCCCAATTTCGATTTCATGTTCAATCACAAGTACTTTGAAAACAAAGATGCTTTGGCAAAGAAAACAGGTGATAAATTCTTCTATTTTGTAATTGGTGGTGTGTTCATCTTGTTGAGCAATGTTGTTGCGAGATGGACTTCTGATTGACTTTTACTTCTGAATTATACCAAACTTACTACTTATTTGTTCCCAAATCTTCAATATTTTCAGTAGGAGCTTAAACAAACAAAGCTTGAACAACTCGTTTCTTGATCGAGCCAAACTTGACCAAAAATTTAGGCTTATCTGAGCCTGAGCCAAATCCGTCCACCACTTTTCTTAGACGAACCGAGCTTGAGCACATCAAGGCTCACCGAGCTCGCTTGTTTAACACCCCTATTCACAGCATGCCATAGGATGGCTCTAGGAAACCTAGGGTTATGTTGTGTGTTAGAGCATCCAACCCAAAACCAATTGGCAATGGGTGGCCATCAAGTATGGGTGGTCCAAATTATTCAATGTCGGATACAAATTCTCTTAACACTGTCTACAATTGATTTCAAAAATAGGTGTATAGTGAAAACATTCTATGGTTAGCGTTTTCACTATAGAAGGACAAGGTTTTAAGGTTAAGGGATGGAGGTAGTTACTGAAAGCTGAATTAGAGAAGTGGTATGTCGCAGAAAATTGAAGAAACACAAGCAGAAAATCTCGAAAAACCAAGCAAATCAAAGGCCACGGTGTTAAATTAAAGGTGCAAGTGACAAGGTTGGGAAATGGGATATTTGTTTCCAATCCCGATTCAAAAAGATTCAAAAAGAGAGACGGTTGGTATAGAGTTGTGGAATGGTTAAAAGCTCTCAAACAACAAGGCAAGGGGATATTGAAGGTTCAATCATCATAACCAGGTACTACCACAAAAAGTGAATCAATTGGAAGGCAAAGAACTATGACGCCAATGGAGTCCGTGTACGTTTTCCTTAATAAAAGACATTATTGCATGGACTTTAAAAGAGATTTCGATGTAGACAATCCAACCACTGCTCAACACTTGGCCAGCCAATTTTATTCACACTTCAGAATTCATCCCAGCACAGAGATCCACAAATTGAAAAGTGGACAAANACCTAGATTGTTTATACAAATCTAGAATTTACTTTCTCGTATTCTCTCTCCTCTCTCGGCTATAAACCTCTCGTTGGCTAACTATTTATTTATTTTGTTGTGATGAATTTGTACGCAAACTACCTACTCTAGGAAACCAACTTTCTTGGATTCTCTACACATCGTTCGAAATGCCCAACCAACGTTCTAAAGGTTGTTGGCATTGGTTTCATTCTTTTCTTTTCTTTTTTTGGTGAACCTCGACAGGGTGAGAAAATTTTATTGATTTGAAAAAACCAAATTACACCTAGCTAAGGAATGACATATATACCTTACCCCTCGATGCAATTTAATTCAACTCCCAATTTCGATTTCATGTTCAATCACAAGTACTTTGAAAACAAAGATGCTTTGGCAAAGAAAACAGGTGATAAATTCTTCTATTTTGTAATTGGTGGTGTGTTCATCTTGTTGAGCAATGTTGTTGCGAGATGGACTTCTGATTGACTTTTACTTCTGAATTATACCAAACTTACTACTTATTTGTTCCCAAATCTTCAATATTTTCAGTAGGAGCTTAAACAAACAAAGCTTGAACAACTCGTTTCTTGATCGAGCCAAACTTGACCAAAAATTTAGGCTTATCTGAGCCTGAGCCAAATCCGTCCACCACTTTTCTTAGACGAACCGAGCTTGAGCACATCAAGGCTCACCGAGCTCGCTTGTTTAACACCCCTATTCACAGCATGCCATAGGATGGCTCTAGGAAACCTAGGGTTATGTTGTGTGTTAGAGCATCCAACCCAAAACCAATTGGCAATGGGTGGCCATCAAGTATGGGTGGTCCAAATTATTCAATGTCGGATACAAATTCTCTTAACACTGTCTACAATTGATTTCAAAAATAGGTGTATAGTGAAAACATTCTATGGTTAGCGTTTTCACTATAGAAGGACAAGGTTTTAAGGTTAAGGGATGGAGGTAGTTACTGAAAGCTGAATTAGAGAAGTGGTATGTCGCAGAAAATTGAAGAAACACAAGCAGAAAATCTCGAAAAACCAAGCAAATCAAAGGCCACGGTGTTAAATTAAAGGTGCAAGTGACAAGGTTGGGAAATGGGATATTTGTTTCCAATCCCGATTCAAAAAGATTCAAAAAGAGAGACGGTTGGTATAGAGTTGTGGAATGGTTAAAAGCTCTCAAACAACAAGGCAAGGGGATATTGAAGGTTCAATCATCATAACCAGGTACTACCACAAAAAGTGAATCAATTGGAAGGCAAAGAACTATGACGCCAATGGAGTCCGTGTACGTTTTCCTTAATAAAAGACATTATTGCATGGACTTTAAAAGAGATTTCGATGTAGACAATCCAACCACTGCTCAACACTTGGCCAGCCAATTTTATTCACACTTCAGAATTCATCCCAGCACAGAGATCCACAAATTGAAAAGTGGACAAAAATGAAAATAAGAATACTTGGAATGTGAAAGCCATGGGGCATGCACAGTCACAGAACAGATGGTAGAGCACTATTGAAAAACCTGATGAGTTGGAATTGCTTGTCATGAAGTACATTTTTGTCTGCAATGACTAAACCAGTTGCTTTAAATACCTGCCAGCCATTATTGACATAGAACAGGAAACAGGCTCAACGGAACTGTCAAAATTCTAAAAAAAAAACCACCACACAACCACTCATCCGCACACAAACCTCACATGTCCGTGCCAATCCAGCAAGATTAGGTATGCGATCAAGTAGCGATGCCACAAGGATAACCTGTTGTCGACTTGCTCTCAACTCTTCCATTGAAACACTTCTTGAATGCAGCAACTGATCAAGAAGCAGATCTTCCTTCTCCATATCTAAATGTTACAAAAAACTAAATTAGACTAGGGTTGTTACTAACTCAAAACAATTGTTTTCTGAAAAAAAATACTGGCACCAAGAAACACAAAGTGCTCATATTTTCACTCCATTTTTCATCTTTCTTCTTGAGTATATTGAATTTTTTATTGTAAGAGTTTATTGGACAACACTTTTGCCACACAAGGAAATCAAAACAAAAAAATTCACAGATAGAAATTGTTGAGACATTTACTAAAAGAAATGAAAAAGGAAAACAAATCACAATCATAGTGTCCTTAATATATAATTGCCACTTCAAGAGGGTTTAATGCTTACAAACCTTATGTCCATCTTAGTAAATTGAGATGGGCTTGACGTGCCAAATTATTGCCAACTTTGATGTCAAACATTGACATCTTTGCTTTCAGTTCGGTGATCTCCTTCTGTAAAGATTTAACTATTTCTAACTGCTCCAATTTCCAACAATGATATCTTCAACATAGTTGGAGATGTTTCTGAGGCACCCATATCCAACCCAAAAAAAAGGCATGAGCAACTCCTCCTCACGCTTAACATACAGAGGTCTCCATGCCTTGAAATATCCTTCCGGTCAAAAGAGAATCACTTGAAAATAACCTTTTCACTCACTCCTTGCCACTTATAAGCAAAGGGAAGAATGATTGTAAAATTACACTGCATATTATCTTAGCCAAATTACTGTCTACTTTTACTTTGCCTTCATGATGTTGACAAGCATTTAGCATTCCACATTTGCCCCCCATATGAATAGTAGTTTGAAAGGTCTAGTTAATAGTTATCTTGTAGTTATCATCGTACAAAATGATAAATTGGAAGTTTAGTAGTTATTACAATTTGACAACTGTGAGTAGACAAAATATATTGGGACATTCTAGAAAGAAAAGCCATTATTTAGGATAGTGTTGAATTTGCCTCCCTATGAGGTTTTTGGGGCTTCTTTAAGAAACAGGGAATTTTCTTCTTTCCTTTTTGGTATTGCTTTTATTCTTTCTTTTGGTGGTGGTGGTGGGGCTTATTCCCCAAGATGCATAGATCTTGTAGGGTTATTCAAAGAAATGATATGTAGATAGAGGAATTTTATAGAACATTTGAGGGTTATGAGCAGTGGCAGAGCCCCATGCAACGTTGGAAGGGCACTTGCCCACGCTGACCTGTGAATGAGTTTTGCGTAGAAAATATGAAAACATAATTTTGCCTAATTAACACATTGCCCGCTGATTGTTTATAAAATTTATATAATGGTCCTAATTGTTTCCGTTTAAGCGACATGGTATATTTTTACAACCCCCCCCCCCCCCCCC